CGTGTTGAGCGAAGGATGCTGGGTATGACATGGCGACAGGTGGTGAAAGTGCCCCACATCCCACCTTACCCACAAACTCTGCTTGGTTTTTTTGAGGCAGGGTTTCTCTGTATTGTTTTGGAGGCTGTCCTGGAACTCCCTCTGTAGACCAGGCTGGCCTCGAACTCACAGAGATCCACCTGCCTCTGCCTCCCTGGTGCTGGGATTAAAGGCGTGCGCCACCAACGCCCAGCTCATTGTACCTTTTCAACAATGCACCTTCCCAAATGCAAAGCCCGTCTCCTCCCCATGTCCCCGGAAACTGCTCTGGAGCTCCTGTCCTTGCCAACACAGCCGCTCCACCACGGCCATGCTGCTAAGGTAGTCTCCAGCTAGAGGGGACAGAGCTCACACTAGCTCTCCTTCAGGGCACCAATGAGAGGTTCTACTCCTGCAGAGCTGGCCCCACCCCCAGCCCCAGGTCCAGTGTGGTGGAAGGAATTTGGTTTTTGGGTTACAATGCCAGGGTGCTCAGGCTTGGCTCGTTAGCTGGCTGTTTCATCAGTACCACACATGGGACTCTTTCGTGACTTTAATGAAGGTGACTCAGTCCTTGGAGCCAAGTCATATCTGAATTTTGTTTTTGGTTTTTTTTGAGACAGAGTTTCTCTGTGGCTTTGGAGGCTGTCCTGGAACTCGCTCTATAGACCAGGCTGGCCTTGAACTCACAGAGATCCGCCTGCCTCTGCCTTCTTCTTCTTTTTTTTAAGGTTTACTTATTTATCACATATACAGTGTTCTGCCTACATGCCAGAAGAGGACACCAGACTAAATTGTAGATGGTCATGAGCCACCATGTGGTTGCTGGGAACTGAATTCAGGACCCCTGGAACAGCAGCCAGTGCTCTCAACCTCTGAGGCATCTCTCCAGTCCCCTGGCTCAGGCTTCTAAGTGCTGGAATTACAGGCATGAGACACCACTCACAGCCTCTTTAACTCAGATATGCCAGGCGTTGGTGGTGGCACACGCCTGTAATCCCAGCACTCGGGAGGCAGAGACAGAGAAACTCTGCCTCAAAATGCCAAAAAACAAAAAAGAACTGGGGACAGGTATCAGGTATGGTGACACATGCTCTTCGTCACCGGGGAGGCAGACCTGTCTGTGAGTTCAAATCCAGCCTGGTCCGCAGTAGGAGGGAGGAGTTCAAGTGACAGAGAACTGGGGGCCGGCAGAGGTCGGGGTGTAAAGGTGATGTGTGACCTGGTTGTCAGGACATCCAGTGTGGGAGTCAGGCAGGCTGCTGCCCGCCAGTCCTCCCAGTTTCTGCCTTCCAGGCACACGAGAGAATCCAGCATCTGAGCCTTGCCGAAGTGAAGTTAGTCTCAGCCGGGTGGCTTTAGACAATGACAGTGAGAGCAGAGAGGTCCACGCACCGCCCACCGCCCACCGCCCACGCCACCGCCCACCACCCATTTGTTGCTCCCAAGCAGAGTTTCTACTGACAGTTGAAAGAGACTGACTGACACCATGATGCCAGCACTCTCGGGAGGCAGAGGCAGGAGGACCACATACATTCCAAGCCAACCTAACCTATGTTTACCAGGCTGGTCAGTACTACATAGGGAGACCCTGTCTCCACAAACAAACAAAAATGTGCTTAATTGCCAATGCAATATTGCCAGAGGCCTCTCCTCCTCTCCTTCCTTCCTTCCTTCCCTCCCTCCCTCCCTCCCTCCCTCCCTCTCTCTCTATTGGTTTTCTCTGTATTGCTTTGGAGGCTGTCCTGGAACTCTCTCTGTAGACCAGGCTGGCCTCGAACTCACAGAGATCCGCCTGCTTCTACCTCCTTGCAATTTTGTGGGTTTCTTTTTTAATGGCCTCTGTCTGTTGCGAAGGAATTTTCCTTGCTGAGGGTGGGGATTACACTCACGTGTGGGCGTGAGGACAATGTTTAGAATGCAGTTATGGGCTATCCTGGCTCTCTAGGTGGCGATAGCAGATTCTCCTCCAAGACCATGGCTTCACTCGCTGAGGGCAATTGGCTGGGTCACCACTGCTAGGCATGACTTCCCTCTTGTTGAGTGGGCACCAGGCCTGATTTCAAGACCATCTTCTTTTCCTTACATTCATTTATTTATTTTTGTATTTGTTTTTAAGGGGAACATATACCACAATGTACAAGAGGAGGTCGGGGGCTTGTGGGAAATCTGTCCTCTCCTTACCGCATGTGGGTCCCAGGGTCTGAACGCAGGCTGGATGGCAAGTGACTCTACCCAACACGCCTTCTCCACAGCCCCAGTCGCCTAGTTTCGTAACTTTTTAAAATGTTAAACTTTTATAGACAAATGCAAAGTGTTCTTTTATTTTTATGTTGTGAGCGCTTTGCCTGCCTGTATGTAGATGCACCAGGTGTGCCTGGCGCCCGTGGAGGCCAGAAGGAAACGGCAGATCCCCTGGAATTACAGACAGCTGTGAGCCGCCTTGTGAGTGCTGGGAACAGAACCTGGGGAGCCCCTGCAAGTGGGTGTAGCTCAGGCATAGGGACGCACACCTTCAATCCCAACGCAGGAGGCAGAGACAGGCGGATCTCTGAATTCAAGGCCAGCCTACTCTATAGAGTGAGTTCCAGGACATGTAGGGCTACATAGAGAAACCCTGTCTCAAGACCCCAAAGACCCACCCTAAATAAAGAATAAACAAGCACCCTTAACATTTAACTCCTGTGAGGGTTGGGGGGGTATGTGCACCACGGCAGGAGAGCGGAGGACAACTTTCAGGAGAATGGTTCTCTCCTCCCACCAACCCCTCATCCTCTCTGAGCCATACCCTAAGCGTCCTCTTTGAATGAGGCCGCTTTGGACCTGGATCCCCGGGGAATGATCAGTGCCCCACTGGCCACTGACTCACAGAGCGAGAAATACCGCTGCCGCTAAGCGCTGAGACCCCTTGGCTGCCACTTAGCCACGCTGGCCTGTCTAGGTCACCCGGCCTCACTGGCCGGTCTAGATAGAGGTCACCCGGCCTCTCTAGAGGTCTAGAAAGGTTTCAATGAGTGTCCCACTGCCTGGTGAGTGAAGAGGGGACCCCAGCCATGCAGGTGCCTGTGTGCAGGGGCGGGCCCAGAGCACCGTGAGTATTAAGGAAGGATGGGTGGAAAGGGAGCCCCATCGGTGCAGAACGTGGAGGAGGGCATTCCCTGCCACCAGCACGAAGGAAATCAATTCAGTGTGGTGGTGAAGGAACCAGGCTGTCACCCCAGCCCCCTGCTTTGGCAGCCATAGCACAAGCACAGGTTCCAACCTTGCCTGACCTTGCCCCAGTCACCAGGAAGCCAGATACCCTCCATGTGGCAAGGAACCAATCAGAAGTCAGCTGGCGGGCTCTGGACGTGCTATATGGGTTCTGAATGTGCTTTGCAGTTAACAGTGGTGTGCAGAGCATAGCAACTGCCCTGGGAGGGCCTCTAGGCCATAGCAACCAGCTGACCAATCAACACAGGACAGGTCAACCATGCCCGGAAGTTCACCAATCCTGACCGTTGCAGACCCCAGACACTCCCCTTGCTCTACCCAATAAATTCCCCCACCCCACACCCCCACCTCTGCCCTGCTGTCCTTCTTGGTCCACCCACTGTGCCGGACAGATGGGGGAACCGAGTTAATACAGTTAACTCATTAATTAATTAAAGACTCTTTGCTTTCACATGGGGTCGGGTCTCTTGGTGAATCTGGGGTTCAGAATTTGGGCACAACGGTGTTTCAGACAAGGAGTCCTTTGACCTGAGGAGTGTTTGAGGGTAAAAATCTGAGAAGACACGGGGCCAACAGCAGCCACCCGCACAGGGGGAAGGACCGCAGCCATGCTGAGGCATCTGCCTTGGGACTGTGAGACTGCTGTCCTGGAACTCGCTCTGTAGACCAGGCTGGCCTCGAACTCACAGAGATCCGCCTGCCTCTGCCTCCCGAGTGCTGGGATTAAAGGCATGCGCCACCAACGCCCGGCTCAAACTTTCCTTCTTTTGATTGTTTTGAGGCAGCCTCTCCACATAGGCCTGGATGCTCTGGAAGTCACTATGTAGACCAGGCTGGCCTCAAACTCAGAGAGATCTGTGTCTCATTCCCAAGTACTGGGAGTAAAGGCGTGCACCTACTGCTCAGTGAAATATTAACTCTTCCTTTTTAATTTCTTCTTTTTTTAAGATTTATTTATCACATATACAGTGTTCTGCCTACACGCCAGAAGAGGGCGCCAGATCTCATTCAAGGTGGTTGTGAGCCACCATGTGGTTGCTGGGAATTGAACTCAGGGCCTCTGGAAGAGCAGCCAGTGCTCTCAACCTCTGAGCCATCTCTCCAGGCCCCCTTTTTAAATTTTCTTAAGGATTTATTTTATTTTATGTGTTTGAGTGCTTTGCTTGGTGTGTGTGTGTGTGTGTGTGTGTGTACGCACACATGGCAGAAGAAGATTGTTAGATGCTCTGGACCTGGAGTAACTAATGGTTGTGAGCCGCCATGTGGGTTCTGGGAATCCCACTGGGGTCCTCTGCAAGAACAAGTGTTCTTAACAGCTGAACCATCTCTCCAGCCCCACGTATGATTCTTTTGAGAAGTTTGGTAAGGATTGAAAAACAATTTTTTAAAATAGATCTTTATTTATTTATTATACATACAGTGTCTGCCTGCATGTATGATTGGACACCAGAAGAGGGCGCCAGATCTCATTTCAGATGGTTGTGAGCCACCATGTGGTTGCTGGGAATTGCTCTCAAGTCCTCTGGAAGAGCTGCCTGTGCTCTTAACCCCTGAGCCATCTCTCCAGCCCCGAAAAACAGAAACTTGCAATTAAAATTCTTTTGAAGGCTTCATAGTTACCGTGGGTGGCGGCACACGCCGTTAATCCCAGCACTCAGGAGGCAGTGGCAGGTGAGTCTCCGAGTTCGAGGCCAGCCTGGCTTACAGAGCGAGTTCCAGGACAGCCAGGGCTGCACAGGAAACCCTGTCATGAAGAAAAGAAAACCAGAAAACATCATAGTCTGTATTTCCCATGAAAACAAAGAGAAAGGGTGTTACCCCAGATCCATTGTCCATCCATCGTCCGTCAGGGTCACGAGCCTGGTGAGCATTCGTTAGTTCAAAGATAAAGAGACCATGATCCAGAGAATTAAGTAATTTGCCCAAGAGCTTTCTCTCCTGCAATAGACGGTGACTACAGCGTTAAAACAAGGGGTACCAGACACAAAAGCCTGTCCCTTAAACCCACACCCGACCCGACTACAAAGTGACCTGGGTAAGGACACCAAAGTCGGAAAATCTTAACAGGGAAATCAAAGGCCACAGCTAAGGCAGCACTTCGGTACCCTGAAACCGCATCGCTTGGGTTTGGGTGTCCAGTTCAAGTCAGGCATGAATTCCGCATGGGGGGATGCGGGACCAGCCGGCAGCGAATGACGTCAACCGCCAGTTACTTATCATTGCCTGACTTTTAATCGCAAAACCCAGTCCATAACCTGATTCCCGTAATCAAGAAGTGGCAGTCTTGGGGGTGGGGGGGCATAGCGAGCACACTGGGCGGAGAGCAGGTTAGCGTCCTCAGAATGCAGAAGTTCCTCCGGGGAAGGGTGTAATAAACAGTGTCATCTCCCTGAGGACCCTGATAGTCTGGAGCGCCACTGTGGGTGCTTGGGGGTGCACAGAGGAGCTGGGGGAGGCTAGCCTTTAACGCGGGTGTCCATTAAGTACTCACTGAAGTTGCGGAGGGTGCCACCGAGTTTGGGAGTGAAAGACGGGGAGAGCCGGGTGCAGAGAAGAGGAGGAAGTCTAGGCCCAGGGAGCACCTCCCTGGAAGAGAGGCTGTGGAAAGGAAGGGTCGGTGCAGGGAAAGAGAAAACTGGGCACCAATATAAATAACTGCACGACTTGGAGGATTAGTCCCGGGTTAATGACACAGGTGGAGGCGACACGCGTGGGGATCTTGGCCATGGCAAGGAGTTGGGGTGCAGGAAGCTGGAAGAGAGGATGAGTGTGATTTCTAGCTACCGTGTTCTGGAGCCGGGCAGACTGGGAGCGCTGGTTCTTCATCTGCCCGGTGGGGGAGTGAAACGAATCTTCGCGATCGGCAGGGACTACAGTAGTAGGCACCAGCTTCACAAGACTCGGAAAAGTCTGCGAGTGTGGCCTGAGGGACCGCGCACACAGTCGGCGGAGGGAGGATGCTGCTGGCACCCGTGGGCAGCAGCGAGCCGAGCGACCCAAGCAAGGATCCGGAGGCCGCCAGGCGGCCCGAGGTCCCGGGAGGTGCCGACTCGGCACAGCGGGGCGGGACCGACCTCGGAGCAGGTGGCGGCGCGCAGACGGCGCAGCAATCCCGGGGAGCGCGCGCTCGCGCTCGCGCGCGCCGGGGGTGGGGTGGGGCGGCCGCGGGGCGGGCGGGGCGCGCGGGGGCGCGCGGGGGGCGCCCCGGGAGCCAGGGGGGCGGGCCTGAGCGCGCGGGCCTTGGCACGCACGCGCAGACGGGCCGGCGGGCCCCAGAGGCAGGGAGGAGGGGGAGCGTGAAAGAGGTGTGTGTGTGTGTGTGTGTGTGTGTGTGTGTGTGAGTGAGTGTGGAGCGTATTTCCGCTCTGGCGGACAAATAATCCTGGCCAAAGGGGAGGCACGACTGTCCAGCCCTTTAACCGCGTGGGGGTGCCGGGGAGGAAGGAGGGGGATCGGGGAGGGGGGATCCTGCTCCTTTAATTCCCTCCCCTCTTCCTCCGCCCCGAGTCCTCGCGGACGCTGCTGCGCGGCGCGCGGGGGCCTCGGAACACTCGGCGCGAGCGGCCCCCGCCCCTCCCCCTCCTCCCGCCCACGCGGAGCCGGCCCCGCGCGAGCGCGCGCGCGCTCCCCGTGCACCCCCCCGCGCCTGCGCGCTGCCCAGGCCCTGCCCGAGTGTGGGGGGCGCCGCTGGCCCCGGGGGGGGGCGTGGGGGACCAGGGGGGGTGGAAAAATTCAGCACGCGGAACCGGGCCAGGTGAGAGGCGCGTGCACCCAGAGGTCGTGAGTCCCGGGCGGGGGGCGGCGGCGGGGGGGGGTTGGGGGTGGGCGTGCCACGGGGATCTGCGCGTGGGAGGGGGGCGTGCACGGCCGGTCCGGGCGGCGGGAGGACGAGAAACAAGGTGGGGGGGGCACGGACTCACAGCAGCGCGCGGCCCGGGCTTGGGAGGCGAGGCGGGTGCGGAGAGCCTGCAACTGGGGGGCCACCCCAGAGTCGCCATCCTCGGGCTCCTCCTCGCCCCCACCCGCCCCTTTCTCCGTTCTCCCAGGGGCGCGCGGGGCCGCGGGGGTGTGTGGACGCCGCTGCCCCGCCCCCGGGAACCACGCCTCCCTCCTCGGAGGGACCGCGCCTCCTCGGGGTCTGGGGGAAACTGAGGGAGGCGCACCAAGCCCGGGGAGGTAGGGATGGGGGGTCCGGAGCCCTGGCCTCCGACAGCCGGAGACCTTTGTCTCTGACCGGTTTCCTTCCCACCCAGGGCAGCCCACTCCCGCCACAATGGCCTCTGGGGTGGAAGTCTTGCGTTTCCAGCTGCCTGGCCACGAGGCCGCTACGCTGCGGAACATGAACCAGCTCCGCGCCGAGGAGCGGTTCTGCGATGTGACCATCGTGGCCGACAGCCTCAAATTCCGCGGCCACAAGGTCATCCTGGCCGCCTGCTCACCGTTCCTCCGGGACCAGTTCTTGCTGAACCCCAGCTCGGAGCTGCAGGTCTCCCTGATGCACAGCGCGCGCATTGTGGCCGACCTGCTCCTCTCTTGCTACACGGGCGCCCTGGAGTTCGCCGTCAGGGACATCGTGAACTACCTGACGGCCGCCTCCTACCTGCAGATGGAGCACGTGGTGGAGAAGTGCAGAAACGCCCTCAGCCAGTTCATTGAGCCCAAAATAGGCCTCAAAGAGGACGGGGTCAGCGAGGCCAGCCTCGTGAGCAGTGTCAGTGCCGCCAAGTCCCTCCTCCCCCCGGCCAGGACCCCAAAGCCAGCCCCGAAGCCCCCACCCCCGCCTCCTCTACCCCCTCCGCTCCTGCGACCCGTGAAGCTGGAGTTCCCGCTGGATGAGGACCTGGAGCTGAAGGCCGAGGACGAGGACGAGGACGAAGACGAGGACGTTTCTGACATCTGCATCGTCAAGGTGGAGTCCGCCCTCGAGGTGGCTCACCGGCTGAAGCCCCCGGGAGGCCTGGCAGCGGGTCTGGGCATCGGGGCCTCCGTGAGCAGCCACCTGGGGGAGCTGGCCCAGAGTAGCAGCGTGGCCCCCAACGCCGTGACCCCGCCGCAAGGCGTGGTGAAGGCCTGCTACAGCCTGTCCGAGGACGCCGAAGGGGAAGGCCTGCTGCTGATCCCAGGAGGCCGGGCCAGTGTGGGGGCCGCCTCGGGCCTCGTGGAAGCAGCGGCAGTGGCCATGGCTGCCCGGGGGGCGGGGGGCAGCCTTGGGGCGGGGGGCAGCCGGGGACCCCTGCCCGGGGGCTTCTCCGGTGGGAACCCCCTGAAGAACATCAAGTGCACCAAGTGCCCGGAGGTGTTCCAGGGCGTGGAGAAGCTGGTGTTCCACATGCGCGCGCAGCACTTCATTTTCATGTGCCCGCGCTGCGGGAAGCAGTTCAACCACAGCAGCAACCTCAACCGCCACATGAACGTGCACCGCGGCGTCAAGTCGCACTCGTGCGGCATCTGCGGCAAGTGCTTCACGCAGAAGTCCACGCTGCACGACCACCTCAACCTGCACTCGGGGGCGCGGCCCTACCGATGCTCCTACTGCGACGTGCGCTTCGCCCACAAGCCAGCCATCAGGCGGCACCTCAAGGAGCAGCACGGCAAAACCACGGCCGAGAACGTGCTGGAAGCCGGCGTGGCGGAGATCAACGTGCTCATCCGATGAAGGGGCCAGGAGGCTGCGTGGGGGGGGGGGCGGGGAGGGAGAGTTCCGGGCATGCGCTGCGCACACCTTGAGGGAGGAAGATTGGAGAGAAGACCTTGCCTCAAAAAGAGCAGAGGAAGAAGAAGATGATGATGATGGAGCCGGAGACAGGGTTGACAAGGCTTGAGGGGATGTGGGGGGGGCTCCCAAAGAAAGATTTTTTTTGGTAGAGGTGCACGGACGAGGTGGAGGGAGGAAGAGAAAAAAAAAGAAAAGAAAAAAAAGCTGAAAGTTTGGAGAAGAGCTCTTTTCCTGGCTGCAGCTGCCCAGGGAGAAGATTGTAGCGTTTCTTGAGGGGGGGGTGGGAAATCGTGGTGGTGGGGGAAATGGCAGGACGCAGTTTTCTCGTCCCTGTTTAGAATAGGTGGGAAAGGGAGTCGTAGGGGAAACAGGTGTGAAGTCCCAGAAAAGGAAGGGGAGGCGGAGCTTGCATGCCGGGGTAATAATATGCGCCAGGTAAGAGAACAGGGAGGGCAACCTGGGTAGGCAGTGAGATTCCGGGGTACCATAGCAAGAAGAGTGGATAGTGGTGGGGTGGGGGGCCGGGCACTTAGGAAAAGGGGCAGCAGGAAGGGCTGTTGGGGGGCGGGAGGGAGAGGAGTAGAGACTTATACAGTATTTTTTAAGAAAACGTATTTTTTAGGATTTTTTCTGGAGTTGGGGGGGTTTAGTTTTTTCTTTGTTTTCCACAAAATAATAAAAAAAAAACCAACAAAACATTTTTTTTCTCTTTTATGTTCTGGCAAACTGCATGTGTATGACTTACCCATCATAGACAGACTCTTCCAGAGCTGATAAACTGCAGTCCCGTGCCAAAAGCAGGGACTAGGGACATGGCAGGAACACGCCCTCCTCCAATTGGGGGGCAACCTCGACACCTAGTCAGAAACCTTATCCCACTAGGTGATTGGCAGCCCTGGTGAGGGCATAAACTGTGGCTTGGGTACCAGTGCAGGGCATGAGCCGCAGGTGGCCAGTGTGCCCATTGAGAAAGCAGGCCGACCCGTCTGTGGACATTTTTTTTTTTTTGACAGTGGCAAACGGCTCGAGTTTTAAAGAAAGCCGAAAAAATGGGCTCAGCCTACGTTAGAATGCCTGGAAGACTACAATTCCCAGAAAGCTCTTGAAAGGTTCTTAACCAAAAAAAAAAAGAACTACAGTTCCCATAAGGCTTCTGAATTGGCCTCGAGCCCAATAACATTTAACTACCTGCCGGTCCCCGCATTTGTGAGCGGAACCACACAGCTATTTTCCAAAACTCGAGCCCGCTGGACTCGCCGTGCGCGAGGGGCGGGGAGGGGCGAAGGGGGGGCTGCGTCCCGCCGACTGTGTGGTCAGGGCGGCACACCTGGCTGTGTGCGCCCGCCGTTCGCTCGCTCTTAGGCTGTCGTCTGGACCGTGACACCCCCCTCGCCCCGACTGAGCAGGGTTTGGCAGGAACGGTGGCTGTCAACAGGCCACGGGCACCCATAGCGCACGTCGTGGCGCGGCTCGCCTGGCGTGCACGGACCTGGCAAGGCCGGGGGTAGGGTGGGAGGGGGCACCCACGCAGCGCTAGAGGTGTCTCCCGCGAGCCCGATCGCCCCTGCTTGTGCAACGGGAAGGGAAGAAGCCTGGACCCCCCCGCCCCCAGGCTCGCGCGCTGCAGAGGCTCCGGGCTTCACGTGTGCTGCTCGCAAAAGAAAAAAAAACCGGGCGGGGACAGGGAAGCCACGGCCCCAGCCGCGCCTCGCCCCGGGGCTCCCTGCAGGGCCGAGGCTGGGGATGAAGGCCCTCTCCCCGGGACACCCTAGCTCCGGACCAACCGAGCCACCCCGGGGGGCGAAAAATGGCCAAAAGGCCCGCAGCGGCTCCTTTAAGGCGTCTCGTCGCCCTCCCTCCCTGTCCACGTGACCCGGGGCGGCCGCGCGCCGGCTCGGCCCCCCGCGCAAGCGGCGATGGCGGCGGCGGCGGGAGCTGCTGCGGCGGCGGCCGCCGAGGTGCGGAAGGGGAGGGGGAGAGGCGGGTGCATGCCCGCGCGCGCGCCCGGGGGGAAGCGCGCGCCCGTGCAATGCTCCGGGGGTGCAACGGGGCCGGGGGGCCCGAGCCGAACTTGCAGCAAACCAGGGGGCCGACACCGGGGGCGGATGAGGGGAGCAGGGGGTGGGAGGTGGGGGAGTGGGCGCCGAGCCGCGCGTGCCGCCGCCCGCCGCCCCAGCGTGGGCGGTGGGCGCCGCGACCCCGGGAGCCCGCGCGAGGGGCGCGAGGGGCCGTCCGCCGGGCTGGGGCGCAGCGGGCGTTGCAGGGGTTGGTGGCCGGGGTCCCCGCGGCCTGGGGGACAAAGGGGGAGCGGCGCGTGCGGCCGGGAGGAGGGGGCGGGGCCGGGGCGCCGAGGCCCCGCCCCTTCCCCCTCCTCTGCTCCCGGCCCCAGAGATGCGGGGTCTGCCGAGAGGGAGGGGGCCGATGCGGGCCCGGGGGCGGGGGCGTGCGGCCCCCACGGGCGGCCGCGGCCGCGGCAGGGGGGGCGCACACCGAGGGCGAGGTAGGCCCCGGAGCCTGCTCTCGCTGCCCCGGGCCCAGGCGTCATGGGCCCCCCAGCTGCCTGCCGGGCTGACGGGCGCCCCGGTCCCTTGTCTCCCCTCCCAGGGGGAGGCCCCCGCCGAGATGGGGGCGCTGCTGCTGGAGAAGGAGCCCCGAGGAGCAGCCGCCGAGAGGGGTGAGTGATGCAAGGCCCGCCCGGCCGGACCGCCAGCCTCCCTCCCCCGCCCCCAACCCGGGATCCCCCGGAGCCGCGGCCCTGAACTTGTTTTTCCTCTCCGCTTCCTCCCCATCCCGTGCCCCCCGCAGTTCACGGCCCTTTGGGGGACACCCCTCACGCCGAGGAGACCCTTCCCAAGGCCGACCCCGACTCCCTGGAGCCCGCCGGCCCCTCCTCTCCGGCCTCTGTCACTGTCACCGTCGGCGATGAGGGGGCTGACACCCCTGTGGGCGCCACGCCACTCATCGGGGACGAGCCCGAGAGCCTGGAGGGAGATGGGGGCCGAGCCCTGCTGGGTGAGCGGCTGGAGGACAGTGGGGGGAGCGGGAAAAGGACCCTTCCTGCCTGCCTGCTCACCCTGCAACGCCCCTGCCTGTCGCCTCTCTTCTAGGCCATGCCACAAAGTCATTCCCCTCTTCCCCCAGCAAGGGGGGTGCCTGCCCCAGCCGGGCCAAAATGTCAGTGACTGGGGCAGGAAAGTCTCCCCCCTCGGTCCAGAGTTTGGCCATGAGGCTGCTGAGCATGCCCGGGGCCCAGGGAGCTGCAACTGCTGGGCCCGAACCCCCTCCGGCGGCCGCAACAACTACCGGCCAGGAGGGGCAGCCCAAAGTACACCGAGCCCGGAAAACCATGTCCAAGCCCGGCAACGGGCAGGTGAGACTGGAAGTTGGGTGGAGAGATTGGGGGTGGGGTGGGGAATCTCTGGGTGGGCTCATTTTTTGTTTTGTTTTGTTTTTGTTGTTGTTGTGTTTTTTCCCCCTCCCCTTCCGGGATTTAGCTTTGGGCCTCTTGTATTCAGATTTTTTTTCGAACTTACCAATAGGCTACCAAGTGTCAGATGTTGGGCCGGGCTTCGGTCTGCCGACCAGAGTAATTGCTGGCTTCCTGGAGTCTGTGTTCTTGGGGGGAGGGGTGGCTCGTGGAGGAGACTGACAGATGTAGAGTTAATTATGTAGTTATTGTCCTAATTACTCTTGCCAAAATGACTGTGCAGGCTCAGCCTTCGCTCCTCGCTACCTCTGAGCAAGCCCTTGGGGAGCTTTTCCCACCCACCTTTTAAGACCACTCTTAATGTGGCCTCAAGTTTTTTACTGGGAACCCTCCCTTCTGGGAAGGCTTCAGAAATGACAGAATGGGAGTGCCGAGAGCCAGGAATCCGATTATGGCAATGTTTAAAGGCTCTAGGTGTAGTTTATATAGTCTTAGTCTGGGTCCTGCTGTTTTGGAAAGTTATTGTTGTTGGGGGGGTTGTTTGGTTTTTTGTTTTTTGGTTTTTTATTTTGGTTTTTCAAGACAGGGTTTCTCTGTATTGTTTTGGAGGCTGTCCTGGAACTCGCTCTGTAGACCAGGCTGGCCTCGAAAGCAGAGATCCGCCTGCCTCTGCCTCCCAAGTGCTGGGGATTAAAGGCGTGCGCCACCAACGCCCAGGGGTTGTTTATTTTTGTGTGTGTGTAAAAGTATAGCAGGATCTCAGATGTATTGCCCTAGCTGGCCTCGAACTCACAGTGTAGACCAGCCTTTTAACTCAACAGAGATCCATCTTGCTCTGCTTCCCAAGTCCTGGAGTTGCTGGTGTACGCCACCCACCTGGCTCTTATTTATTTCATTTTGTTTTTGTCTTTGAGATGGTTCCACGTAGCACAAAGGCTGACTGAACTTGCTTCGACAAGGATTTAGTCCTGCACCACCCCACCCAGCCTCTTCATTTTAATCTTTCCTAATTTTTTTTAAACTGGGTTATTTTATGTGTGTGGGTGTTTTACCTGCCTGTGGGTGTGTGCACCACCCTGTGCGCCTGGTGCCCTCCAAGGCTAGAAGAGGGCAGCGGATTCCCTGGAGCTGGAGTTTGAAGCCGCTGTGAGCTACATTTGGTTGCTAGGAACTGAACTTAGGTCTTCCAGTGCTTCTAACCTGGGGGCCACCTCACCAGCCCCTGTGTCGTCTGTTTCTGGGAAAGCGATTACCTCATCAGAGTGAAATTGCTCCCTGGTACAGAAGTCCATGTTTGCTCCGGCCCCTCATATAAAATTACGAGAGTAGTCATAGAGGTGGAGGCCGGGTGCATCTCTGTGAGTTGTGGGCCAGCTAAGCAGTCAATATTTGCATATGACTTAACAGTCTTCCTTGTAGTTTAGGTTCGCTATAGATGATTAGTTAATGTAAGTACTGCAGTAGTGGTTCTTAAGACTGTTTGCTATGGGCACAACTTTTTAAAAGTTTTTGTTTATTATGAGTGTGTATTGTTAGGGTGGAAACTTCACCCCAGCCTCCTGGCATCCATATATACCCAAAGAGTCTGGAATGTTCTGGTGGAGGTTCTACCTAAGCCCCCGCCTCCCCTATCACCCTCCAAACCCTACTGCATCTCAGAAAGCCAGCCAAATGATGACCCCTCTCCCCAGAGGATATTTAAACTGCCCCCCAGGAAACAGACTCCCATGGTTCCTCCAGTCTCCCCTTCCCGTCTGTCTCCTCTCTGGGGGTCTGGAGGGTCACCCAGGAGCGCTGTGTCCATTAAACGTGGGCTTTTTCTAATTCGGTTTGATGTTGGTCTGATTTGGATTGCTGCATCTGTGGAGAGGCTTATGGGGTGCATAAACGTGTCGTGTGTGTGCCGTGGGGGGGGGCTGGCAGTGGAGGACAGGGGACGTCTGTGTGGAGTACAGCAAGCATCCCCGCCCACTGAGCCATCCCATCTCGGTGGCCCACGGTGTTCTTTGGTTTTACGAGACTGGGTTACTCTGTATTGTTTTGGAGGCTGTCGGTCCAGCCTGGTCTCGAACTCACAGAGATCCG